ATGAGAAGAGAAGACTCCTTGGAAAAGACCTTGATGTTAGGAAAGTGTGACAGCAAGAGGAGAAGGGGACGACAGAGGATGAGATGGTTGGACATTGTCATCAAAGCTACCAACATGAATTTGACCCAACTCCAGGAGGCAGTGGAAGACAGGAGGGCCTGGCAAGCTCTGGTCCATGGGGTCACTAAGAGTCGGACACGACTAAACGACGACGATTGTTCCAGGGGTGGGGGTGCACACTTTTGTTCTTTTAATGGAACAACAAATACAGCAATGTTACTGTCATAGATCAACAGCTCTTCTTGGATTTCCTTTAGTACTGATGGGCAGTGGATGTTAACAATTCTGAACGGCATGTCGCAGTTTGATCCCTCACCTTGCAAAAGTGAACACCTAGCAGAGGTCTAGCCTGTCTCTGAGGGCTCAAAGGAAACAATTTATTTTTAATCTCCAGCCTTTCAACCTCTTTCACCCCTACTGAGCCCAGCCAGCCATACATTTATTTTTGTTTTTGTAAGTTTTGTTTCATCAGAAAACTTCACTTGTGTCGATTTATAGAGGTAGACTATGAAATCCTTTCTCTTTACTTGTCCAGCTTGTTTGGAATAAGGAAAAAAAAAATCCAACAACCTAGGAACTGAAATAGTTACTCGTATCCCACAGACTCGTATCGCACAGACTCCCACAGTCTATCAGATTTTCAGAAGAATTCTGCTACAAAGAGAAGGCCTGGACAGAGTGGTCTTCTCAGTTTTTCTGTAAAGCTTTCCAGCAGCTGGAAACTGAGAGACACTTTGATCTTAAGTACATACATTTGGAAAATTTTGTCCCATTGTCTTTTCCCACACAGAAAATGATCAGCATTGGATTGCAAGTGTGCTGAGGACCACAGCCTAGATTTTTCCATAGAAACTGTCAGATAGGTGCCTCCAGTGGACACACACATGCACAGTCAGAATGATTTTTCCTCTGGTGGAAGTTGCCCCTCACATGATCATGAGAATGATAATAAAAATGGGCGGGGGGAGTCATTTACCAGATTTCTGTGTGGAGCTGATATTTCCTGAACACCTATCTCTGCATACAGGGCCTTTCCCACAGACAAGAGTGTAGGAATCTGCTGGCCCATGAAAAATGTGCAGTGCTGGAACTTCAGAGTACTCTGGAGGAGAAGCGGGATGAATTTGTTGCCATGGTGCTTTACAACCTGACTGCAGACTGTCTTGGTAAAACAGTATCCGGCTTCCAGTATTTTTTTGTAATATTATATACAGAATAGATAAAAATTACATTGAAAGGATTAATTAAAGCACCAACCAATTATCCAAATATTCTTTTAATACCAGTGCTCAGAGAAATCCTGGGCACTGAGAAGAAAGTCCCACTGTGGGGCTTAATCCCTAGCTGATATGTTTAGGATTGCAGGGGTAAATTACTGAAAGAGTCACTTCGGCATTTTTCAGTGATTCCACCATAATATGCATTTTATGGATTATTCATAGCAATATGTTCTTGTAGCAGAGATATCAAAATTTTTAAAAGCTACAAAGTCAGATTCCTTTCACATATCAGAAGTAAGCAGACACTACTTGTCAGAGTTACAAACACACACACACACACACACATTAGGAAAACATTAAGAACTAGTAAAAATAGATTTTTTTCTCAAGAAGACTGATGACTGAGTTAAAGTAGTCAAAATCACAGAGAAATGCCTTTTTTGTTTGCTTGCCTGATGGCATATTATTCAGTTAGCATTTTATTCAGTAATATAGGTTATTACAAGGAACTGTTTTAATCCAACATACAAAAACAAACTTATCAAAATCTGAACTTGTCCTTTTACTGTAAGAATCAAGCAACTCTCCTTCATCAAATGAATCTGAATATTCTTTCTGTAACTACTACAGTGGTGCCTTGACTTACAACCATAATCCGTTCCAGAAGATGGGCGTAACTCAAAATGGTCGTAAGTCGAAGCACCATCCCATAGGAATACATTGAAAACCCATTAATCCATTCCAGCCTGTGTGGGGGGGGGAACACACCACACAGCAGGCCCGATCAGAACACGATGGGGCTGAAAACAACAACAACAAAAATCACAACAACACACAGGAAGCCGCATCAGAACGCAATGGGGCTGGAAAAAAATAAAAAAACCCCACCACACAGGAAACCCCATCGCAACGCTGAAAGAAAAAAACAACAACTAAAAATAAACAGCACAGGAAGCCCCATCGGAAAGTGATGGGGCTGAAAGAAAAAACAAAACAAAAAATTAACAGCACAGCCAGCCCAATCAGAATGTGACGGAGCTGGAAAAAATAAAATAAAATAACCCACAAACAGAGCTGTTCCATCGGAACGTGATGGGGTTGAAAGGAAAAAAGCAACTAAAAATAAACAGCACATGAAGCTGTTTTTTTAAAGAAAAAAAAACCCAAAAATAAACGGCACAGAAGCCCCGTCGGAAAGTGATGGGGCTGAAAGGGGGGGGAACCAACAATAAACAGCACAGGAAGCCCCACTGGAATGTGATGGGGCTGAAAGAAAAAACTACAACCCAAAAATAAACACCACAGCCAGCCCCATCGGAATGCAATGGGGCTGGGGAGAAAAACAAAATTAAAAAACACACACAAACAGAGCAAGTCCCATCGGAACACAATGAGGCTGAGAAAAAAACACCAAACACACCAAAAATATAACAGCACAGAAACATAACCCCCCCCAAGCCCAAACCCACCCTGCAAAATCCTGTAAATGTACTCACCCAGAAGCAGAAAACAACACCAGGCAGTTCCAAACCTCTCTGCAAATACACACACTCTAACTGTTGGGGCGAAAGAGCTACAAAGAAGCTCTTCACCGACCAACAGTTAGTACTCTAATTTGAATTCCCCACCTTTTTTCCCAGCCTCTTTTCTGTTTGCTACTCGAAGTTCCGGCCGCAAGTTGAAGTAAAATGTTGCGACCGGAGGTGGTCGCAACTCGAAATGGTCATAAGCCAGGATGGTCGTAAGTTGAGGCACCACTGTACATTCTAATCTATCCTTTCAAAGCTGTATTATCATTAAAAAAATTCTACCGCCAGCCAGATGATAAGACAGAGAATATTAATTAACATTAATAATTGATTAATGTATTGATTAATTAACTTAATCTCATCAAGAAATAAATGCAATTTCAACATTGGCATTAACAGCAAAAAATAGTAAAAAGAACTACTAAACTTTCTTAGAAATGTTATCCACTTTTTGGAGTTCAAATTGTACAGATTATAGTGGAGCCAAAGATAAAAAAAAAGCCCTTTTAAATTTGTATATATGCACATCTCTCTTAATGTTTCTTCCTTCAAAGATTTTTACCTTTCTCAAGCTTGTGGTATATTTCAGAGAAAAAGAACCACATGTATATTTTTTAAAAACACACAAATTAAAATGTGTACATTCGAAAATTTCAGATAGATATGCTCCAGTCAATTAAAAGAAACAAACACACAGAGACACATGCACACACACACAAGCACACAGACACATTGAAATAATCAATATAATTAGTCTTCCAGGTGGCAGACAGTTTTGAAAACCCGTGTATCCCACCTTGAATTCTATGAGGAACAAAATGCAGGCTAAAAAAATCATCAAATAAATTAAATTGTGTTCATAACACAGTCTTCTTTTATTCATGTCACATGACAGGAACTATAATACAGAGAAACAATTATCTTCAACTGTGTTTGGAGAAAGGAAACATTTCTGTTCAAGGGGCTGCTTCTCTTCCCACAAAACCTCATACAGGGTTTCATGAGGTAAATAAATTTAGTACATCATGATGATGGAGAATAGCTGGTGGACAAAAACATTACTTTTTCTCAGTCTGCATTTTATTAACATAATTCTGCAGTAAGGAATAAAGATGAAATACAACAGCTCTCAGAGAAAAAAACCCCACAACCTGTGGAAAACCTTGTGAAGTAATGCAGACTGATTTGGATACTAGTTTCATTTATGACCAATGGAGTAAGATACAGTGTTCAGTGTAAACATGTGAGACAATAATTCAAACACAGGCATGCACTATTGATTGAAGCCTTTGGACTGGGAAAGAGGAAACTAGATGTATGCAATATCAATGAAAGTTCACTGGGTCATTCAAAAATATATTAAAGTATGTACACAGGCTATTACCTTAAACAGTGTACTCGGCTCTTCATTAAGGTTGACTCGAGTTACTACACGTCCAGTATCTTCTTCAACATCAAAGATACTTGCACTGTAAGGGAATTGGACCACATCTACTTTATACCTTACTCGACTTGCTGGTGTCCCCTGTAAGAAACACATAATTTTATTATATTTAGTAAGGCCTGGAAAACAAGACAGGAATACTCCAATATATGCCCACAAAGCTCACCACACATGCTATGTTTCAGTGCATTTTTAAACATTAGATGACTATTTAATATATACATCATAGAAAGCACATCAGTATTATTGAAAGCATGTGTTGCACATGCATGTGGCTGTATTACACCATTTATGCATCGGCAGGGGAGACTGACATACATAAATACAGTAAGCTTTCATGGTCGATCTTCATTTTCAAATTTGCAAACATGGAATTTTGACATTTAAGTTTTAAAAACTAAAGTATAGTCAATTTAAGAATACCATTTAGGAGAGATAAGGCATGTTTCAAATTCTGACTACACAAAGTTTGTAATTATGTTGTTAACTATTCTTTACATATTAGTTTTTCCCTTCAACAGAGGCTCAAGAAATAACACACCACAGTACAATTACCAGGGCTTGAAAAATGCACTTGTCCACTCATCTGTGACAAGTGAAAAAATGCTGCTTGACTAGCCACACCTCCCTCCCTGTGTGCCTCCTTCCCCTCTGCCTGTCTCTCTCTCTCAATGATTGTGCAGTCCTCCCCTCCCATTGCAAAATGAAAATAGCCCTCTTCTTGCAAGAAGAGAGTTTGAGTGGCACATAGCTATGCAGGAGAATGTAGAGTAGTCCCATGCTGGAGAATATGGAGATTCCCTGCTTCCAATTTCAACCCAATGAGGACACATTCTGGGGTGGGAGGGAACCCTGGCTCCTTAAGAGGCTGGGTGCTTTTGCTTTCAGTTTTATTTTTGCTGGATACATTTTTTTAAAAAAGGCATTCAAAATATAAGCTTCATGATCCCACAGACACACAGGTAATAAAGCAACCCAAGTCTGAGGGTATATTTATTTTGGAGTTGTTCTCATTGTTAAGTAGAAATGAAAGTGAAAAAGTGCCTAGTTTAAATTTGTTAACATAAATTGCAAGGCTATAGTCCGCTCATGCTGACTGGTGAAATTTTTACTGACTGGTGAGACATTCTAAAAATTTTCAAGCCCTGACAATTACCATCCACGATGATATAGACACATCCTCACCCAACATTAACTGAAACATCTACAAATTTCTTGGTAAGACCAAACACCAAAAACACTAAAACATGTAGACTGGACAATTCACTTCTGCATGTTCCATTGAGGGGAGCTATGAACTTCATGTTACTCATCATTTTATAGTTTTACTATCTCTGTCTTTCATATGTTTATTTGTAAGCCACCCAAATTTATGTTATTGGATCAGCTTATGAGTGCCATAAACTAATTTAAAAATCCTGTTGGGACCACTAAATGCAAATGCCATGGGAATGAGCAGAAACCCATCAGCACTACCATCTGGAAATTGCTAGTGAAGGACAAGTAGAATCACTGAAATGGAGCACTGGCCACAGCCAACTCTGATAGCTACACCAGAAGGATCCCATTCTTGATGAAACTGAAAGCCTTTGAGAGATCTTTGTCTCTCTCCTGAAAAAAGCTTTCCACAGGAAGACAAAGTAGTCTTTGTATCAATTCTGAATTCTAAAGTGCAGAAGTATCAGACAATCAATCTCATCCATGAGTTGTTGTACCTTTTGTTTATTTAGGAGCACCAGTGATTACGAACAACAGCCATTCTTCTTACATAGATCTGACAGAAAATTAGCTTCAGAAAGATAATTAAATGTGGAGTTTTCTGTCACTTTTCATCTTTTTTTTTTATAGTTCTCTCAGGAATAGCGATTGTAATCTCTGCTATTTCATCACTGTCATATGTTCTCCTTGCTAAAGCGTAACGTGATATTCCTGAAGTCACATTCTCTTGTCATCAACCGAGGTGCCAGATGCTTAGGAGACAATCAGCAACTGGAACCATCAAGCAATTCCTTGGTGTCATTAAGAGATTCCCCAGAGAAAACATATCAAAAGTACTGTCCAAATGGAAGAGTAACCCACTGGGATTTGAATATGTGCTAATTGAAAAGCATATGTTTAAAAATTCTGCAGAATTGCTTCCTATATGTTTTCCCATTAATAGCTCTGCTGCAAGACATTTTAGAAAACCTTAGCTAGATTCCGATTCAGCAAAAAGAAATTAAAACAAATATACAAGGGGGCAAGCATATTACCCTTGTCCCTCCACTCTTTCCTTCCATGTATAGCAACCAGCAGTTTAAAAAGGAAAGTTGTCTCTCATGTATAGAGGTTCTTCCTGCACTCCATAATCTCTTAGCTTTACCAAGCCTTTTTAGAGGAATAGGAACACCCTTAATTTTTTTCTAGTTAGTGTTCTATTTGTGATGTTTTGAAACCCAAAGAAATATTTGAAAGATGGGTCTGATCTACATTTTACTAAAAATATTTAGCATAGGGATATAGTGAAAAAAGTATACAATATAAAAGCTGAAACCCATTAGTAAGTAGTAAGTTGCTGAAACCCAGTAGTAAGACTAGATCCACTGACTCAATGGAATTCATGAAGGAATTGATTCACCAAACCCCACTGAATCTACTCCAACTGCAACTTAGGTTTACTACAGAATTTCAGCCATTGTTTCAAAAGCAAGTATGTTAGGGCAGACATAATAGGGAGGAACATTGTTCTCCATAGTAGTTTCAATAGATAAACATACATAATTTTTCTTATTTTCTTCATGGCTATCATACTGATCCCCACATATTCACAGTGTATCAGAATTTTAAAACATCATCTATTACTGAAATAGGCAGTCTTCAAGTCCTTGCAAACATAAAGTTTTCCAACCAGATTAGAATGCACAAAGATGATTGTACTCTTAGTGTCAGAAGCTGATTTAATGTTTTTTTTTTCTAAAAACAATTACGAAAAAATTACTCATATGCAGCAATTTGGTTCAAGATAGTGACAATTACATTCTGTTCCAAAAACTAAAAAGTACAATTAGCATTAAACATCTGCACGTTAGTTAATTTGTTACTGCATTCCTAAAGTTGGCACAAGATAATTATTTGAGATAAAGCTACTTTTCTTTCAAGGTTTGGGAAAAAAAAAACAATGGTAGGACACTACATTTACTAGCAACACTGTAATTGATTGACAAACAATATCACAGGATTTTGAGGAGTGCATTTTAAAAAGGTACTGGCTCTTACAGTCTGTCACATTCATTATCTTTCCAATATTTCTTTAAGGCACATAAGAAACCAGCTGATTGCTGTTTTGAGCATCAAGAAGTTTAGAAGCCTGGGTTAGAAATTAATATTTATAATGAAAAGTGCTATGTTCCCATGACAGATATGCAAATAGTTAATGTATTTTAGAATATAAAAATTAGTATCCTTGCAGCATTCTAAAAAAACACATCCAAGGAATAATTCCTACAAAATAAATGCTCTTAATTTGTAGCAACTGATAGAGTGGACTTCTGTGTTCTTTAAAATGTAGTTAGGTTCTGCTTACTAGCTTCCCTATAAATGCACAGAAAACAGCTTCAAAGCTTAATTTTAAACACATTAGAACTGACATCTGGAAGCTGAGCCATGGCAAATGGACTTCTTTCTCATTAGGTTGAAACATTTCACTACTCATCCAAGTAGCTGCTTCAGTCAGAACAATGAAATACTAGTGTGATCTCACTCTGAGACAGAAAATTGGGGTAGCACAAGGGAAAGAAAGGAGCAGGCTCACAGGGCAGAGAGTATATCAGAGAAAGAACTATTCTTCAAACTGGAAAACAAAGATGGTAGCTATGACTCACAGAGCAGAAAAGCAGTAAAACTTGGCCTCACTGAATAAAACCATCTGTTAAACATTCTATACCTATAATTGAGGAAACGAGGTGATCTTTACACTTAGCATTTCCACACAGTCTCTAAAATTGCACCATTCAATATAGCATTAACAAAGCCAAAAGGGAAAATATCATTTTGGCTATGGCAATGGGCATGCATAAATGAGAGAGCTAAGAGGCTCCCTTAACACCTCATCTCCAGGCTTATTTACTTATAAAAAAAGAATGAAAATTATGCATATTCTCTTTGATTGTCCTAATGACTCTATTTCACCCCCTACTAACAGATTGTTATTGAATGACTATTCCAAAGCATAGGCATTTTGGTAAGACTGACTACAATTACTTGGTGTCCTTTAGTAGCATTATGCTGTTTCAATAAACATGAGCTGCCTGCAGTAAATAAACACAAGAAATCTGCTTTCCTGCTAAGAGAATAAGGGGTGCCAATCTGAGCAAGATAGAGTCTAATGTGATGGGTGATACAGAAGAGACAGGAAACACAGAAATAATGGGCACTTGAAGATTATTATCACTTATCTTCAAGCTGATGGGGCAAATTCAAGGAATATTGTCAAGGAGAAATTGCTGAGTAGCAGAAACAACAATATCTTGCATGTTCCCATAAAGGAAACAATTTGATTTAATCATTAATGGGATACTGAAGATATCACAAATCTTTGTTAAAAACAACTGTTTAATGGCTAGGAGGAAAATCATCATTTTCCTGATAGTTTTGTGCCTTCTTCTGCCTTGCTGTCATAGAAACTGCATTTGTGGCTAATGATACAGAACTACTAGCATCACTGATGCATCCTAATCATTAGTACAGTATGGATAATAAAGAGCATTTCTAGTAACAAGCTGCAAGGTCTGGTTTTCTATGGATTAGATTTCAGGAAACAGCTTTAGGTCCATTAACAGCCAGTCTTATAAAACTCCAAAGTTTGCATCTCTTTACAGAACAGGATGCAAGTTTGCAAGTTGACATTCAGAGAGCAAATTTCTCCATCCAATATTTGAGATTGTTTCTTTTTTCATTACCACCACAGCTACAAATTTAATCCTGAATAACCAGATAAATAGGCATCTATGAATCTTCACCCTCCTGCACACTTTTGATCCCTTTGTCCCCAACTTTGGAAAGGCAGAAATTCTACTTATCACGAGAAAACTATTCAATACTTTGAAGAGTTTGGGTGAATAGGTAAGATCGCCTATACTGGAGATCCTTTTCCTTAGAGGCAGAAAATGAACTCTACACGAAGAAAGAAAATAATGCAAGAAAAGCATTAGTGGGTGCTGGAATCTTACAGGAGCAATGGATTATGAACCTGAACAGTTGAATGCTAACCTAGATGGTAGAATAATCTGAGCTTTTCCTATAAGAGTCCTCAGGCTGAATCTTTGATCATATTCTTCAGAGTTTTGATAAATGAGTCAGAAACTATCCATCATGTGTATACACTTCTGTCAATCAAACACCAGAATGAACATCAATGGGAAAGTTGAATGTTTGATGTCGGTGTGAAGGCTGCTTACAGCAAATCATTTATATTATATTCATATCTTCCATTTTAAGAAAGATTTTAAAGGTTTTCTACATAAGTATATTTTCTGCTGAAAAACGTACAATATTAAAAAAGTTTTTCAACACTTTTGTTTTATTTTCTATTGAAGTTCCAGAATTATCTCAAATACCATATAAAACACTAAAAAAGAATTTTACTGGATTCATCAGCCTCAATGAAAGTCCATTTTCACAACTCTCAAGACTCCTTGTGAGAACTAACATACCTTTCCTTAAAAATCCACACGTTCATGATGCTTATGAACTCTCCGGAGAAATGCACACAAAATAATACACACATTTAGCAAATGGCTAAAAATGCATATAGCTAAAAATATGCATGCATATGCTTTAGCCAAGGGAGAAATGCATACATTTTGATAAAATGTATAAATAAAGGCATATATTCAAAATAACGAATTCACACAAAATCTCGCACCCTAAGGGAGGGCAGGAAGAAAATTGAAATGGGATTTGTAGAAACACAACAAAGACAAGACTGAGAGAGCTTCACATCTCCAGATTTTGCACAGAAATTGTTACATCATTTAACAAAAGTGTGGAAGGGACCAAGGCAGAGAGATAAGAATTCTACATTATGGTTTAATCAAAAAGCAGCTCAGGATGGCATAGAACAGGTGGGCTTAAAAATGTGTACCCCTGTATGAAGAAAATTGTGGGAAACCCCAGCCTAAAGGTTGTGGCTGTGATTCTGTTTCAGTGAAGTGCATACACTCCTGACTGGGTAGGCGGGGTAGCCCTTTCTTAGAGGTAGAACATAAGATCAAAGAGTTATTTTAGCCAATCCTAGTTAATGATTAGGTAACCACTATCCTATCTGTTTCTCTCATAACATACTGTGTAATCATGCTAAGTCAATAAAAAGAGCCCTCAGGCCATTGCCAGGAGGCTCCGCTGGTTTGGACAACTGTTGTTGACTCCTTTTGTTCTCTCTCTGCAAGGCAATTAGCCTTTCCTATGTTAAGTGATCACCACTGAAAATAATACTGATATTTGGTGTGCAGAGGATTAAGGCTATTTATGTGGCTTTTCAAGAAATCCTCTTGGGTGTGGTCTATTAAGAAAAGTTTCATTTGCTTACCGGAGGGTCTTGATCCTCAGCGTCAACTGTTGTGATAACAGTGCCCTTGACTGCATCAGGAGCAACCATGCCTCTGTACAGAGGTTTACTAAATACTGGGGAGTAATCATTCATATCCTGAAAAACACAATTAGAAGTTTACCGCTGAAGTGTGATTACAGGCACATCTGCAATTGTGCTATCAAATCATACTTTGTTCAATCTCGGCCCACCAATTAGATAACCCATTTGTTACCACCAGGCCTTCTGGATTCCCAATTTTGTTGCTATCTTCACAGGAGACTGAAATTTAAGAGGAAGACGCAAAGCCATAACTATCAATGTTGGCACCTCAGGCAAGCTACACACTATGCACCCCCAAATCAAATTTGTCATTCTTGATGCAATTCATCATGATATGGAAAAAAATGCTAAAAGAAAGTAGGAGAAAATATAACTTTATCAGCTATGAGTTTGATTTGCTTTTACAAATGCATAACTTTTTTTCCTTTTTGCACCTGAAATACCACTGTAGTCAATATCCAAAAAAACTGCGTACATCCTCTCTGTTTCTGTGCTGTGTAAACAGACAAATTGCAACGGGTAAAACACTGCTGAAGCAAGGAAACTAGCTTTGAAAAGTTGAGAGCTGCTAGGGGGAAATGTCCTCTTTTTACACCGTAAAACAGCGGTCCCCAACCCTTTTTTGGTCCATGGACTGGCTGGGGAAGGCGGAGCACCCCCACGCTCATGCACATGCACAAATGAGTGCACACACATGAACAGCAGCACAGCGCTTGTGCGGGCATGCTTGAGTGCATGGCAGTGCCACCATTTGCACATGTGCATGAGCGAGCACGCAGGTGCAAACAGCCTTTGCGAGGGTGACTGAGTGCGGGGTTGGGGTGGGGTGGGAAGTCTGTCTTCATGCCCTGGTCTGGCTCAGGCCAGGGACCGGCACCAGGCCATGGACCGGGGGTTGACAACCTCTTCCGTAAAACACAAAAACCACAGTAGCTCAAACTGCATAACTATGGACAAACAAGCAACATGAAAACTGCAGAATCCACAAGTATATTTCTAATCTCTGAATATATAAAATATCCTCAGTAAATAAATTGATACTGACTTTTTTTAAATATTTTTTTTTATTTTTTAACAAGAGGGCTGACAAAAAGGAAAAGGGGAATTGAGGTTAATGGGGAAAAGGAGAAACAATCACATACTAACATCCATTCTATACCTATTGCCATATCAGAATTCCATGTTATTCTATTTACTCTTTTCTGCCTTCTAGGTTTAAGTTCTCATTTCAGTATATGCTATTCACGTGTTGCCTGTTGATTCAGTTCACTTGTAGAATAAGTCCCATCTTTCTGTTGCCTTTTGTAAAGGACAGTCCTTCATTACTTCTGATAAAATGTCCATTTCCGCTATTTCCCATGTCTTCTCAATAAATTAATACTGACTTGAGGCTTTACCAAGCCATTCAAGTTTACTAAGAAGTAACTCCCACTGTGTTCAGTTATATTTCCTGAGTAAGCATGCAAAGAATTCCAGTCACTGTAGTGTAACAGCATCACTCTACAACTTTAACCTCTGTACATCCTTACTATTTCTATTTCTTACCATGTATAATTGCAATCCTCTTCTCATTCACGTAGCCTAACATGATGATGCATTTAATTTATATTAATTAACTCATGATGGCTGGTTTTCAGATAGCTGACAATGAAAACAATTGTTTTACTTTAAAAAGGACACATTTTCATTTTGTATAATGTCTCAAATGATTTTTTCTTATTTTGCTTGAACAGCCAATGTAAGAAGAACATTCTTACATAAATATTAAATGAATATTCTTATGTGTTTGAATTTAGTCAATAACACTTTCAATTACTTGAAGTTAGAAAAAAAGGGTTGCAATTATTATTTACATATAGTATATATTAATAACATTACTTTCTGTACTGTCTTGCATATAACCAAGAAGTTGAGGACAGTGATATTAATTGGGTCTGCTGTCTTAACCAGGCTTCCATCCTCAAATTGCCTCCTACTTGATACTGATTTTAGTGGAGTTGCCACACTCCTGCATCAATGTATTCATTTCATTTCATTAGTTGTGTCTCCTTCAGTGACTTACCTCTTCTCCATGTTATCCTTGCAACAAGCCTGTGAGATACATCAGATTGAGATAGGGTACCAGTCCCAAGTACCAGCCAACCAATAAGTTTCATGGCTCAGCAGAGGATAAGATCCTCACAAATCTGAGTCCAGCACCTCAGCAACAATACCAAAATGGTTCATCTGGGGATAAATATCCCACTGAACCATGTTCCTAAGAGAGAAATGCTATAAGACTTCACCTGCTGCATTTCTGCCTACCACATAACTCTTAAAAGACTCATGAGCCCAAAAACCCTACAACAACTGAGACTGTGAAAAAATAGTGCAGCAATCCTAATGAGTGGGGAGAAAGCTCATAATGATTATGAGGAAGGATGGGAAATGCTCACCTTTCAGACTGGGAATATTTTGGAAGAGCAGTTTCTTACTGGCAGCCTCCAGAAGAAGGTGGAATGATGGGGGCATCCCCAGCAGTCCAGTATCTTGAGCTGCAGGAAGCCATGAAAGAAGGAGCCACTAGTTGTATTCTAAAATTGTGTCATGGCTCCCCCACCTTCTACCTTAATGCTGCCCCTTTGCTTTCCCCTGGGCAAGCCACCACATTCAGCCAGGGGAAGAGTCTGTGGGAGAGAGAGAAGCAACCTGAATGGTGACACATGGTATAGGTGGTGGGAGAGTAAGGGGAATTGCTGGTGGCAGTGGTGAAGGCAGAAGGTGACATGAGCACCATTCTCCCTATGGGGGCCTGCTATGCTCCATCCATGGTTGTCTGTGGGAGAGAGAGAAGGAACCTGAATGATGAGTAGTGGATCATGTATGGAGGCAGCAAGTGGAGAGAGAATTCCCAGGAGCACCAGGCAGCGCAGAAAGTTATACAAACATATTTGGCAACCTAGGGCAAAGCTCCAATTGCCCCAGCCTATTTAAAGCCTCAGAAGATCCTGGGTTTTCAGTAGCCCTGTTGAGGCATTAGGTATGAAAACATGGAGGGCGAAATGTGTAGTGGGCGTGTGGGGACACAGGAAAGCCCTGCCATCATGTCACCACTCTGTCACACACCATAAAGGTCTGCAGAGGTGCCTGTAAGCACATTCAGCCAAACATGGCTACCACCTTTCCATAACCAGAAGTTCTAATGAGGCATGACTCCCAATTCTGGAAACACTTTAAGTGCACATTCAGCTGACCACATAAGCACTTTTAGCAACCTCAGTGGTAAACATACAGAACTTTGCCCTTCCTCTGGGTAAAATGGAGATACTGGGTACAGATAACATGCCCATCTCCATTGTCCATGATAATTACAGCTGTTCAAGCTTTCAGGCTTACTACATCAATGAGGCTGTTTTACACCACTCCATTTAAGTTATATCAATAAAGAAGTCAGTTCAATCTGTTGGAAGAAATGTGGGAATATCAGTACATACTGTCATACATGGTGGATATGCCTTCCAATCCAGCTGTTCTGGTCCAGATTTTTTATAGAATTAGTCCAGAGCAAAAAATTATAAGGTCACCAGATCCAGCTCTTCTGTGCTTATTTTCAAGCAATAATGAAGCCTAATTCATAAACTGTTGATTACCTTTTTCTGTATGGCAGCATGTTCAGAAATTGTCACAAACTGGAAGGGAACTTGTAATTTATCTTTACATGCATGAAGAAACAGAATATGGCATATTGCCCTAATGAAAAAATTAACAAACCAGTTCAAATTACTTATACAACCTAATCCCCAATATAACTCTTTCAACACATAGTTTCCTTTTATTTGTTTTTTAATGTTAATAAGAATGACAAGACTTATTTTCCACCAGCCTCCCATTTCAATCTTTGGTATGATATTCTAATCTGATCTAGTTTACAATGGTATGAAAGGATTATACAAGATTATACATTTCTAGTGGATCGGCTGTAGGCAGTTTCTTGACCAGCCCTTCAGACAATACAGAAAATAGATTTTTGTGTGTTTTTTTAAATAAATGATACAGTGATGGTGCACAGTCTGAAAAAAAATCACTTCCATTGTACCTCTGCCAAGGAGCAAAGGAAATGTTCAGTTTGCTGATAGTCTGAAGTGGCACACTTATTCAGCCACTTCAGGAAATTCAAAACTTACGGAGCTTTGACAGTCAGAAGACTCACTTTTGGTCCATTCCGAACCCTCAGAAGTCTTTGTGATGGACCAAAACAGAGTGATTCTACCATTAACAAAACAAAAATAAAAGCCCCTGACAAATGCCCATCTGATCACCGTCTAAGGTATCATCTTAGGTGTTACCTTTAGCTTGGTTCAAAGGTGGACATTTTCTAAACAGGGTGAATGCTGTTGATGGCATTTGTTCTTGCCTATGAATCTAGAAAAACACCATCAAACACGAATGTTCGGGTAAGTACTTCTGTTTGGTATGTTAAGGAGCAATGGAAGCAAAGATCATATTAGTTGGGATATGAGCAAGCGAAAAGCCCTTCAGATCAAGCTTAAAAATGCTTTTCTAAATCCAAGAATAGATCAGTAGAATGGCTCTACACACAAAGAAAAAAAAATCTAAGCATGTATTAGCCTAAAGAAGCATAATTAGAAGGCAATGAACAGAATTAAAATGAAATGAATGCTAGAAGACAGTATTCCACAGATTGGTCTGGAATTCCTTCATGCATTACATTTTTCTAAAAGGGCAAAATTTCAGAGTCAAATTAGATTATACACTTAGCATGTATTTAGGAGAGGTGTTCCCTCACTGGGAGGTAAACAGAGGCTTAACTGCAAGTCTTGATTCTTCAAGCAATGAAGCCACAAGGAAATCCCATTGTTGAGGAGGAATAATGGGTTAATGGTGGGAAACACATATTCTCCTTAATGTCTGTCTATCAGAGTGAAAAATGCATTTACCACAATATGTGAAATACAGTGTTATTATTTTTGTTAGAACAATTGGAGTAGAGGTGCCCTAGAAACAATTACTGTTTTCAATTTGTTTAAGCCATATATTCAACATGCATAGGAGAA